TGAAATGTGGGAGAAACGACGAGCTTGTTTGTGGGGACTTCAGGAGAGGTGCACACAAAGATCGCGGTGCTGCAGTGGATGAGGACGTGACCAGAGCAAGTTCAACACTGCAGGTCGTCGCAAACATCATCTGAGACCTGTCCCCCAACCACCCCCACCCATCATGCAACCTTTACAGTGCCCCATCGAGAGCTCCTGCCAGCTTTGCTCACGTGTGGTCGGGCTCTGCACATGCACGGATATTGTCAGTAATGAGGCTAGTGAGGGCAGCTGAGAGATTCATTTGTGACCTCTCCCCCCTTCTGGACCATTCTACCAAACAACGCATTCACCGCAAGCCATCAGGTTGCAAGGGTGAAATCCCCCCCCCACACTATGCCTCCAGCCTTTTCAGAACCAGGCTGTGAGGGGTTCTGGTTTGAGGTGGCTAAATAGTAGAGCCGTTTCTTCCACAGGAGCGTTGATAATCATATGGTTTGCTAATAATCTCTCACAACATCCTCGCTCCCTATTGCACTACAACTAATAGTTCGTCACCTCGAATTGTCTTCTCATTCGCCTCCTTTCCACAAAAAATGCAACTACTATCCCCCTTGGTTAACTAAAATAAATGCCCCCCTTTGCAATCAGCACTATGGACTATTTGGTAACACCTGGAATTTATGCAGCTTTTTTAATTCGTTGGTAATTATGATTTAACTCCGAAGCAAAGTGATTATTCTAATCTTATCAGGACACTTTTATTTCTGCATGATAGGATAAAATTCTGTCCAAAATTTTAAGAGCCTGTGTGAACATGTTATATCATTTGCATCCACCCTTTTGACAATTTAACGTTGAATTGACATAAAGTACATGGTGTCTATAGAGTCATATACAGCACAATAGACTACTTTGATTACACTTGTTTAATTGAACTATAGGAAGTCGGAAGAGAGGGTTGATGAGGTTTTTAAGGCCACACGTTTACATAACCTTTGCTGATAACAGTCTTCGGCTTTAAGGTAAAATGGTTGGGATTGCTTGCGGTGCACATCTTTTTTCCACATTCAGGTGGAGATTGTTGAGCCTGCTCTCCTCACTCCTGCAGGTTGACTCACCACAGTTGATGGAGTGCAGTCGTGGGTTATTATTATTTTATTCTTTTAATTATGTGAAAACTGCAACCATGGCTCTGTTCAAGGTAACCATAGCAACAGGGCCGATACTCTGTGGTCAAATTTCCATTTACCATAGCAGACAGAATACACTGTATCTTTATTGATTATTGATCAGAATACACTGTATCTTTATTGATTATTGATCAGTATATGTGTGTGTGTGTTGTGGGTGTTTGGTGGTGTAGCTCTGCGTGAGGACCTGTACTTTGACGTCGGCTGCCTGCTCGCTCTCTCTCTGGTTCACGGCGGTCCTCCTGTTGGCTTCTTCTCTCGTGCTCTCTACCAGTGTCTGTTCAACTTCCCGCCCAACTGGCCGCTCACCGTCGCACACATGACCCCGGACACACACTCCACCCGCCAAGTCAGCAGAGTGAGTAAAAGAAACAAACCTTACAGACAACAGTAACAGCATTACATTCTTATAACCACAGGTAGAATATTGATTTAATGGCTGATTTTAGATTGCGAAGGCGAAGTCTTTAGACGAGCTGAAAGAAGTCATGGCGGCAAGTTGGGAGTACCTGGAGCTGGCCGGCTGCAACCGACCAATCAGCAGCCTGGAGGAGAGAGATGTTCTGGTGGAAGATCTGGTCAGCTTCACTCTGATCACCAGGATGCAGCTTCCACTGCAGAGGTAGAGACACACAGAGACACTTTAAATGGTTCTCTATGTGAGATACTGAAGCATATTATGTCTCTGTTTAATCAGTGTGTGTGAGAGGCAGTGTGTGTGTGAGCAGAGAGTGAACCGTCTTCAAAATGTCTTTTCAGCATAGATTAGCCTAGCACATAGCTTGTTGACCAAGGTTTGCTCAACTGTTCTAACTCCTCCTCCAGGTTTCGGGAGGGTCTGCGGACGTTGGGTGTCTTTGATCAGGTGATTTAAAGTTCTCTTGGTTTCCAGTTTTTAACCCGCTGTAGATTTATCAGATTTTCCAGCACTCACAGCGACAATCCTTCAATCCTTTAATCCAGGTGCAGCTCTTCCCGTCGGAGTTCTGCGGTGTTTTCTGTGAAGCGGCGGTTCGGCTCTCGGCTCAGACGGTCGGTCAGCTCTTCACTGTTGAGTTCTCGCAGCAGGACGACAGACTGGACAGAGAGACGCCCATCGTCACCTTCTGGAGACACTTCCTGCTGGAGTGTGAAGGTACAGGAAGTCCTTTTCTAGTTGAATTATTTGATTCAGCTCTTCAGATGTAAACCGTGAACACTAATTAAACATGAAGTTTATAACAGCAGCAGGAAGGATGGAAGCTGAACAGGGACAAAAAGCTCTCTGGTGGAACTGGAAACTCAATCTTACAGTTTTGCTCTTTGAAATTAGGAATTATACAATTATTGTGTTTCCGTCGTTCATGTAAAGAATTTAAGTTTCGATTTGTCAAAACTTTCTTTTTCATCTTTCATTTGTCAAAAATGTGTCAATGTTTACATTCCTTCTAAACTCCTCTCCTCTCTTGTTTCCTCAGTTGGGAGGAGCTCCATCTCCCTACAGGACCTCCTTCACTTCGCCACAGGAGCTGAGGAGGTCCCAGCCGCCGGCCTCCTCCCTCCTCCCACCATTTCTTTCCTCCACCCTGTCACCTCCTCCCCACCAGGAGCTGAGCAGGAGGAGGGAAGAGGAAGAGGAGGAAGAAAGCGAAGAAAAGTCAGACCACAGACGGAGGTGTGGAGGGACGAGGGGCTCTTCCCTCAGAGGGAGCCCAACTCCAAACACCTCCTGTTGCCTGTCACCTCCTCCTACCAGGCCTTCAAAAGCTCCATGGAGCAGGCCATCAGCCACCATGTGCACCTCCTCCCCACAGCGAGTTAGAGGAGGAGTTTGCAGGAAGTATTTTAGGATTTACATTCAAAGATATTTTTAACAAAAGAAATCAGTTTCTAAACGAGGCGGTGATGATTAAAGGTCTTTACGCAGCGGGAGCGAGACGGATAATACAAATACTTCGGCTGTGAATATGTCGCATGAGAAATATTCACACCGACACATTCAAAATAAAAATGAAACCCACACACACCTGAAGATACACAACACACTGTATCATTAGAACGGTCTCTGTGACGCCCTCCCACAGAGGTCTGTGAAGAACCGCTATGAAGCTCAGTGTGGTCGAATCTGTCCGTCGCCATCTTAGCAGTCCGGACTCCAAACATGGTCAAAGAGGTGGAGCCGAATGAAGCCTGGTTACTGAAAACAGCCGCACGGAAAACCTGGAAATTTAGAACCTAGATATGTAGTCACTGAAACACTTTACTCAGGTCGCCTGCGTAAACCTAAATACATCTACATACAAACAGCATTAATTAATGATCAGATCTCTTCCTGTGGTTGATTAATACCTGCACAGCGAAGCTAATCGTACTTTCAACAAACACTTTCACTAGAAGATGAATTTTCTGTAAAATAAAGTAAATTCTACTTGAATTTGAACTTGAGGAAAACTGTAGTTAATTCACCTGAGACCACAGTGGAAACATCAGCTGTGGTGAGAACAGTGCCGCTCACCACAAAAGCGAGCTAACGTCAAATGCCAACACGAAAGTGTCTTAAACCTGCTTTCTATGTAATGTCCAGCAGGGGGAGCTCCACTGGCTGCAATATAAACAGACACCATACAGTCTTATGGAGAAATGCGCCGACTTCCTGCTACGGATGAGTCGAAACTGAGCAGCTCAACTCGCGATACGTGACCTCCGCTGGCTCCGACTAACTGTCATGGCAACGGCCATAAACTGAAGGCTTGAAAATGGGACTCCACAACCCGACGGGTTCCTCACAGTGTGACTGATTCTTTTATTCACGGTGTAAAAGCTCCGAACAATTGAACAAACACAATTACTTTCTCTCGCTGCGTAATATTAAAGCGATTGTGACGAAACAACAAAATATCGACGTTCAAATTCATCGCAAGAAACAACTCCAGTGTGTAAAGACCTTTCAGTAGCATCAGAGAGTTTTCATCTGCAGATATATTATGATTATTATGATGTTATTCTGTTGCAATGAGCAGGATGATTTAATGCAACCACCATCTAGGATAGTGAATTGGTTCGAGGCGTTTCTGCTGCTGTAGCGATGCGTCTACGTTCCTGTTAGTGGATACAGTCTCTGTCTGAAGACGAGGTTTGATGAGCAGAAACAGAATATCAGCAGGTTTCTGCTTTATCTCAACTGGTTGTTACTTTATCACATCCAGCCATTAATTGTTTTTAATTTGTTGCCGTCATTTAGGAGAAAAGTGTTGACATTTATTAGTAAATCGTCACAACTGATTTATTGTGAGCGAGGCTGAAGGCTCGTTGTCCGTCGTATCCTCACAACACAAGGTTGAGCAGCTTGTCTGTCATCCGTGTGTTTTTGTGTCATTTTAAGAATCTGTATATCTGTATATCTGAGCATTAGCGTGATAATATCGTCCCCTGCCTGGTGCTGTCGTCTCACTCGTTAATGAAGCTGATACATCAAATATTTCCATAGCGAAGCCAAAGCGAAGCGAAACTTCAAAGCAAATCCTCTTAAATTTGCCTTTTTTAAACCTTTTTTTTTTTTTTGCTCTTTCCTAAAACATTCAGCTCAGTTGTGATGTGAGGATCTTTCTATGTTTTCTAGTTTAAAAATGATGGTGCTGATTTTATAAAAGCTACTTTTTTATTGCACGTACTTTGTTTTTTAAGCCTTTATTGATGAGTTTTTCTGTCTGTCATGTTTTCTTTTCTTTTGTGAAATGAGCAGTGTGTGTAAGACTGCCTCACACTTTCATTTAAGTGGCAAATTCAGGGTTCATCTTAACTTTTTGGTGGATAAATGTATAACTTTATGGATTATAATGCATTAATGACCTTTTTAACTGAGATTTAACGAATGGATGGCTCTCGTTTTATAAACTTAAACTGTTAGAAACACTGCAATGTATTACAACCCAGTCATTTATTCAGTATAGCCTTAAAATCCCATTTAAAAACCATAATTATGTCATCATTAATTGGTAAAATGAAGAGATTTGGGTACAAAGTGTAAGAATCTGTTCAGTTTGTGTTACAGCTGCAGAACGTGCAGAATCAGTTTAATACCGATGTCTTTTTCTTTCTGTCTGTTCAGTTTTTCAGGTAATTTTATTTTCCTGAGTTGTTGAACCTTTTCCTTCTTGTTATTTATCTGTTTTGTGTTTCCTTCCTGTTTACTGAATGCTCATTTCACAGCCTCTATTTTCTCTTGTGGATTATAAACGCAGAAACAAACCGTTTGTTGTCCTGATTTCTTTTCTGTCTGATTTTCTTCTTCTGTTTCCTGACTGACATTTTAATATTTTTATTGAATTTTTTGTTAATGTCTGCAGGGACAGTGCACAGTTAACAGTTAATTTGTCCCTGAAAGGTAGACTCAAAACCTGACCACAGAACAGTAAATACAGTAAATACAGTA